TTCCATAATATTTTTACAATAGCCTATAGATGTTTCTTCTCCATAGGTGGTGCCTTATGAGCACCAAATATTTTGCAGCCATTACAAAGTACATTGTTAATAGTCTCAGGTCAAAGTGTTTCACCTTTGGAATATTCCCTATTATTTCATACAAAAACTTTTTTAGTAAAAATTCTACTGAAGCTTTTTCTTGTCCAATTTTTAATTAAATACAGAAATGTCTGCAGTTTCATGGAATAGTTATGAAATATATTTATGATTTATATTTTTTAGGAAAATTACTGTTTAAATACAAATATGAAAGTTAAAAATAAAACGCTATGCTCCACTTAAATACAGTGTAACTTGCTGATTTCTAATGACATAAATTTATGATATGCTCTGATATAAAGAAGGAAGAAAACCTTCTCAATTAATTGCTGGAATGATGACGTGTTTGTTTCATTTTACATACATTCGTGTATTCTTACATCACAATAGCAAAAATATGACATTTATGTCCTGATGAAGTGAATTATCTATTATTTAGTGGCTAAATTCAATAGTAACAGTAACTGGTTCTCGTAGCCATAAGATACCATGCCAAAACTACCACACTAGTAAGGAGCTTCATTTTCTAATCTTCAGTCTTACTTTCATTTGCATCAATATTCTCGCGTTGTTTTAATGTTCAATGAGATCGGCATCCATCAGGGTAGGGTTTACAGAGAGTATTTTTACAAAGACTTTTAATGGGAAAAATGGGACTTCAATTTTTGGCCGGAAAGGACAGGAAGCTGGTTTATTCAGGGTCCGGTTTACCCAGGTTTGACTGTATTTAAAACTAAGCTGTAACTACTACAGTTAAATGTTTTAAATAATTGCATTTCTCAGAAAATTAAAAAAAGTATTTGTTTCTGTCTGAAAATTTACTTTTAAACATATGGTACCAAAAAATGAAACAAGCAACAAATCTCAGATATCGGCCCAAAATTGGTCACTCACAGACAGTCAAAGTGGTTAAACAACCCAGTACTAGCTCATAGATTATCACTTTGAAAATGTCTATCTACTTTATTTGAATTTTCTTGTCAGTGTTATTTGAAATAGTTTATACATGACAATAGAAGTACATATGCTACAGTTATCTTCAATAATGTTCTTAAGTCTTACTCCAAAACATAAACAAATGGAAACGGTAAATGTGAGTTCTATATTAACCAGTATGTTGAATTCAATTATTAACAATTTCAAACACTTTCAAATAATGAAACATTTCAATTTCTGCAGTTACTAGTTTAACATCCATACATATGCAGTAACTTGTATCATTAAAATATATATATATGCAGTATATATATAAATTTCATTTTCATGAGCCAAACACGGTAATATATATATATATATATATATATGCTAATTTAAACAAACTTTAAAATATCTATCCTTCAAACTCTCTTTCTTGACCAGGAGAATTTGTATCTTTAAAATTAACAATTGTTAGGTTTGTTTGAGAGGCTTTGGCAAACTGTAAACTTAACAAAAATCTCAATTGTTATAATATTCAATGTTGACCGTATTTTAAAAAATCCTTATAGGCCTTAAAAGATTTTATTTTTTAAATCACGACTTGAATTACAATTATAAATACTTATGATATTTTTATATCTACCATCATAACTCCACTATAGCCTTATGAATGTTACTATTTTGATTTGTCACTTGAAAAGTTGAAAGCTATTTGCAAATTTTCTTTATAAATTAGATTTGTTATTAAAATCCGGAACACTGAATCTCATAGACTTTGGAATTTGTTGTACTGGTTGTAGGCGGTGAACATCCCATATAGAATTTTGTTGGACTTGTGAAAACAAGGCAGTATGGACACTCTATCCCTATGTCTGTTGTATTGTAGTAGGATATCAGACTAGCAGAACTGTTAAGGATATGGAGGTGATGGTTAAGAGCAATAACAACGATGTTGTCTGATGGTGTAGTTGTTATATTGGCAATCTGCAATGGTTTATCCTTTGTGCTTATGTCTTGAGACCCAGAGTATTCATTTAAAATATCTCCATCCTTACCTAAAACCAACACCCTTCCTACATAATCTTTTGAAAGGCAATCCACAGCACAAATATTCCCATTACTGGTGCTGGTAATTTTGAATGGTAATGAAAATATTCTTTGTTTATGATTTTCTTGTTCATACACAGTTAGATGATTCCCCTTCTGGTCCATTACAATCACAACTCTTCTTCCTGTCACAGGGAAGATATGACCAGGACTCTTTGCACCTACAATAACCTTGTGATCATTGGCTATATGGACATAAATTATCAATAATGGATCCACACTGTACTTTGAATCACTGACTTTCCCAGTCTTTCCATTTACAAGTTTTAGCTTTGATGTTCCATCTGCAATCAGAAGATCATTATTATATGTGACTGCTATACCTCCTATTGAAGTGTTTATGGTAAATACTGTTGTGAGAATGTTCCCTTCTGGCTTTACTTTGTGGGAGAACTTAGTGGTACCATCACCTATCCACAATGAACCATCAGAACAAGCAGATATATATTGACAATATTTTAATTCAGCGGTGAACTCCTTGTTCACTTTCATATCTATTACGTTATTGCTGGAACTAACATCTTCATACAATGTTCCAATATTTGATTGCAAAATATTCCCTGGTTTAAACTTTGGCACACTTTTATGGATATCATTGACTGCTTCTATTTCATCATCCAATGATTTTAAGATGTCAGTATTTTCAAAGAAAAAAGACATGTCCAATGTAGTAAGCATTTCTTCAGCTGTCTTAAAATGATTTTTCATTTTTTGTCTGCTTGCTGTGACATTTTTCTCCTCTTTAGAAATTGAATCTTTGATGCTTTTCATTTTCTGATTAACTTCTTCTATAAGTTTGAGAGCATATTTATCTACCTCTCTTTTTAATGCTTCCCTTTGCTGTTGAATATTTTGAATGGTCTTCTGACAATTCGAATTCTCCATATCTGTTACTTGCCTAAGCTTTCTCTGTCCATCATCCAGCTTTGTCTCATTCATTACTAATTGTCCTTTCCGATTTTTTAGCCATTCTACTTTCATTTCATATGCTTCTTTTATTTCAATGAAAGTATGTCCAGCATGACCTTTTGTAATGCAGCTGGGACAAGCAAGTTTATCACAATTACTACAGAATATACAACATGATTGTGTTGTGTGTACTTTACATTTGATGTTTGTTAAGTCAATGTTTCTATTGCCACCACTCACTCCTACCTGTTTTATATCTACTATTGTGTGGTCTTTAGCATTTTTGAATTTCGGATGAATTTTATCACAACACTTATTACACATTAGCAAGTCACAGTCAAGACATTTCCATTTTAACTTGGTCTCTGATTCACAAAGGTTACAAGAAATAATATCCTGAGCTTTTATGATAGATTTTGATAACGCCATCTTGTACAGGTATTCTACTTCCTTGGTTTCAAAGATTAAAGTTCATGGGCCAAAAAATTATATTTTATATCTATATTTAGATTTAAAAATCATATATATTGAGCTTCATTGTTAACAATTACAGCATTGAATTTTGTAGATTAAAACAAAGATTTATGATATATTATATATGTTGAATGTGATATGTGTTTTAAAAAGGAATAATAGATTATGGATTCCTTATTGATTGATAATAAGATAGTTTATTTAAATTATCACCTATCCATAAAAATGGACGTTTAAATATACCCGTACTGAGCTTTAAAGGTTCCATTTTGGACATATAATGCAAAATGAGAAATTTTGTAGGATTTTATCAATAATAGAAATTGTGAAAATACAAAGTACATTTTCATTTCAACAAATTGTTAAACCATTAAGAGACCGTTTCAGTTTATGAAAACAATAGGTAGGGTGTATGAAAAATATTAGGATCAATTTACACAGTCAACACTGAGAACTTTTTTTTAAATTAGCATAAAACCAAAGATGACAACTGTGTTTTGGAACCAGACACCAGCTTATATAGACTAGTCATTGGTTTCCACTTCATATTTGCTCATATTTTGTTCTTCTCCTGTATTTTCTCCATATATATGGAGCATTGCCTATGTGTTTAGTGTCGAAGCATTTGTAGATGTTAAAATGGAGAGATTTGGTAAATGAAAATTAAGCTCCATCACCTATGCCGCCAAAAAAGAGGCCTGTGTAAAAGCTGACATATATATATATCAGTAATACAATGGTACAGAGCCTCCTTTAAAAAGTTAAAAGGTGGTACTCTGCATATTGTGAAAACTGAAATCACTCCATAAGGTAATTGAATTAGTTGGCAGTTCAATGACATGCTTAACAAATCCCATAAATTTTGTGTATAATTAAAATTCAAATAAACAAAACACACAATTTTTGTTACATCAAAAACTCCAGAAACACAATCTGGAGGAAACACAGATATTTGTAATTAGGGGATGGAATAAATGGAACTTTTCCTCAGTGAAGGATATTTGGACCTTTCTTCAAGGAGCTTATGTTTTTGGGAATGATTCCGTGAACATAGTGTCTCCTCTTATATGTTAGATTAACAGGTATGGATATTAACATGCATGCTGAAGCTTTGGCAAAGCTACTTCCTCATGTCAAGCATAGTCAAAGTATAGGTGTTTATGTCCACTCTGTGGAACAGTATACCAACATTTCTATTAGTTTTGTTCTAATATATATCTTGCTGTTCTGTATAGCGTTTATTTGAAGGCATCAGTATGATTTTCTATAATGTTTGCATTTCTAGTCAAGGGTGGACTGAACTAGACCAGTATTTATTGTCTATCTTTTTGGCAAGTAAAGGCTTTGTTTTATTATATCTATTTCCTTGGAAGATAATACTTTTAATACTCTGTTTATAGGCTATTCCTGACTGTGCAATTGATTTAATTCTAAGTTCACACTGTACTTTATTGTTGATATTTTTAGGTAACTATAAGAAATTATTATTGTTTCTATTTAAGGCATCTCCAGGCTGTACTATATGTAAGTTCATTATACAAGAGATTGACCACTTCATTGTACTGAATGAGTCAGCTTCAGCAATCAATGCATCAGTATATAACTTGTGTAGTAAACTACCAGCTCCACTTGACAAACTGGTGAGTAGATCATTGCTTCGGTAAATTTCTAGCTCTACAGCTCTGCAAATCTAAAATACTTATTGTGATCAGAATTAATCAAAGTACTGAAGTACTGAACATCGGATGACCGCAGGTTCTTGTGGATGGTCAAAAGCACATGTCACAGAAACAGATCACATCTCTATACCTGAAACTGAGGTTAATTTACAGAGATTTTTTTTTTCTTATACAAGTTCGTGCTTGGATGATGAATAAATGACAGGAAATTCAACCTCACCGTAATAACTATTATAATGTAGTGATACAAATCAGTATACCTTAGACTATTATACTAATATAATAATAGTTCCAGAGAATACACTGCATGGTTTGTTGTTATATATTATGTTAATATTACAGTTGCATGTATATATAATTTTCATCTATTTGTATATCATACTATTCTACTATTGTTATAGTGTAATGCAAGTGCATGGTGGACACTCTTCTGTAAAAAAAATCAAAGTCTTAAAGGCTGTAAAAGCAATTGCTGCCATGTTAATGTTTTGTGGACTTTTATTTTTCATCCATATATATAAGAATAAAACCTGACAGGACAGGAGTGTTGACTAGTGAGAAGCAAGACGGTTTTAACTTTATATCAATATAAGACTTTAGCAGGAAATCATTTTAAATATGTTTTATATTTCACAAGGAGACAACAAGATATGGATTATCCCCTGGTAGTGTTTGTAACTGGGCAATAGTTTCCTTTATTGATTTAATTTTAACCATTTTCATAATTAATTTAAATTAACCATTCAGTTAAAACATTTCAACTTTCCAGACGCAAATGTTGAAAAACGGGACAGAAATAAAATATCTTACAAGACATAAACATGTAAAAAATAAATATATATTTCAGCTTACTAAAAATATTTTCATAATGTTACTTTGACGTCATTTCTTAAAACTAAGTCCCAAACATAATTGCTCAGTTGACATGTGTCATCCTCATGCGATACGAGATAACTATAATTCTGATGCAATCCCGAAAAGGGGGGTCATCACAAACAAACATGACATTAAATTGTCATTATACGAACTAGAACAAACAGCTCTATGTTGCTTTGATATTTATCAATTTTCAGGAAACATGTGAAATAAATTTCAGGTCCATTTCATTATAGTGCCTAACAAGATTGTGTGAGGTAGACGAAATTGACCTTAAAACGATCGTATTGTCTTTTGATGTCCAAAAATAGGCAGATCGGACATATAAGGACTTTATCTAATGACTACATAAATTTGGGATTTATTATTATTATAATATTCTAATGAAACTGAAAATTGTATTTTTTTTTAGGATAAACAACAATTTTACCTGGCGTAGCCGTGCATAAATGTTATTCTGCATTTATCTTCGAAAAATGGCGTATTTAATGGAATAGAACGTTAATACAGTAAACTTTCTCTTTTTTCTCCGCAATAGGCTATCAAAAATAATTTATCTAATGTGTATGTGGAAAATTATGTGAAAAGATAAAAAGTGGCAATTGTTACCTTTCATACCTTAAGTTTCATTCATCTGATTCTGACCAATGCTTATATACTAAATATCTATTTATATGCCGCTATTATTGTTGTTGTTACCAATAATGTAAATCAATTGTATCTGATTTTATGCCCTTTATGGGCCCTGTAATTTGGGAAATAAAAAAAAAAATCTATTCATTGATAAAACATAATATGGACTGGTCCAGTGTCCAGTTTGCAGGTCATTTAATTTTCTGTACACATTCATGCACGCTCTGATTTAATCAATATACTCGTACGAAAAAGCATGAAAAGTTTGAAGGTAATCTAATAATAACTTAATCCAATCAAATTGCATAAGATTCAATAACAATGTCAAGTCCACATCATAATGAGTAATAGAGGTAAACTGGGTAGGGAGAAAATGACAGATATTTCAAGTTAATATTTATGCAATAACGAATTAAAATTTGTCAACCAAAAGTTTTGCTACAATTTCAAAAACATGTCGTTCTGTATGGGTATAGTTTTCGGATCTTTCATTAGCGTATTTAAGGCTATAAAAAGTTTGGGCTTTAAAGGTTCACACAATTATTGACTTTATACAGAAAATTTGTCCTTGTAAAACATTTAATAGTTCACAAATGATACGCGATTTTAAAGTAAAATTATTTCTTAAAACACTGCAAAAAATTTCATTCATATTGATAAAGTGGTATCGTCATAAAGTGCGTTGAAATGAACAGTGGTATAGCAAACATCGAATTCCCTCACAAAATGTTATCACACACTACAGTAAGGGGAGTCAGTTAAGTTTGTCTATATTTAGATACTATACAGGTAATCATTTGACTACGTATACAACCTGTGTGACCCTGTGTAGTGATTTTGATTTTACGATAAATTCATGAATGAACGATAATTTTATGAATGAACATGAGCACCTGACCTCTTTCTTAAACACCTATTAAACATATAAAACCGTATTTAATAAGGAGATAATTCAGTCAAATTTTCAGTACTAAATCAACAACTGAAATGATTTCATTTTTTGATGAAACATCGTACGAACGGAGAACGGAATCGCAGGTATAAAAATGCACTTTTTTCCCTTGTAATGACCGCGGATCTATAATTTTTATAGATCGGTTGAAATCCCAAAACTAATTTGCATAATGGAAATTTAGGCGATAGCAATACATCGGAGTGACCTCAAGGTTATCCTCTGTAAAAATCAATTATTAAATATTCATCCCATTTGAGGCTTTGTGATCACACCAATTTGTAATGTGATAATTTAATCAATGCCTAGCAACCAATTTATACAGATGTGATCTTATTTTCTTGCAGCTCAATTTGAAAATTACCTTGGGTTAAACAAACATTTATTATTTATTGAAAGAATAAAAGAATAATAAGTGCAACAATTTTTTTTTCAATTGGTTTTACTCAAGTGATGGCTTTTTCCAACAAAGCAAATTTGGTCTGATATTTTTTTATATAAATCTTCATGAAATGAAAGAAAATTGTGGATGAAAATAAGTTAATACTGTAGGCAGGAGACGACTATTAATAAATCAGTGCATTACTTCATAACACTAAATTCAAATAAAAAATAATTCCATTTGTGTTTTTTTCACTTACATATTTACAGGGAAGTATACTACTTTTAGGGGAAAACTATGGAATATAGAAAAATTCATCAGCTCTATCTTCAAATACCATGGACAATTTTATGTTGACAGGATCTTCCATTCATGTTGACAACATCAGACATGCTTATTAAAGACCTATTGCAATTAGCCAATTAACAATATGTTACAATATGTTAAGATTTATGACCCATTTTTACTGTATAATTTTCAACTCCCTACGAGGCATTTCATGCTTAATAAAGAATTAATTTGAGAGGCGAAAAAAATTGGAAGAAATACACTGTTCACACAAGGCACTAGTAAATTAAGAAATCTAAGGTGAGAATATCTTGACTCTAGAGATTTGGGTGTTGACTGCATCTACAATTTATACTTTGGAAATTTTGATTACATTGTATTAAATTTTGATTACATTGTATTAAATTTTGATTACATTGTATTAAATTTTGATTTCAGTGTTACGGATATGCACCAGTTATTGTACAAGATGTTGTGTCAGGATTTGACCCTAAACAGACATGTGAAAAATTTAAGTTATGTACAAGTGAGTATAATAGTGTTTATTTGGCAAGTGAAAGGTCACAATGTAACAACATTAGTTCAAATATGTGTCATCTTCAAGAACTCTGTACTGAGCCTGTCATATCTTTTTTTTAAAAATTTACCCTGAAGACTGTTCTTGAAAACAAATTAAGCTGTTTATTAAAGTATTTATTTTAAAATGTTTCCATTTCCCTAAATTTTATGACCATAATAGGATTTTTAGGTGAAATATTAACCAGTCTGCATTCAATTGTCTTTTAAATGCACTGCAAAAATAATAAGTTACATTGATTGATTGATTGATGTTTAACGCCACTTTCAACACTATTTTGCTATTTCTTGACGGTCAGTTTTTTTGGGTAGAAAAACAGACAATCGAACTCACAACCTCAGTGTTGATAGGCTAGTGATACAGTAGTACGACTACTCCGACAACACTGCCACCGAGGCCCCTAATAATAAAATACAACGAATTCCTATAACATTGTTTGGATGCAGCATTTCTAGAATTATACAAATTTTATGTCTAAAAAAAAGTATTATGGGGCATCCAAAAAAGTAATGTGAAGTTACTATCAGTGAGACTTGATTGCCATCATGTGATTATAAGATTCATGTTTTTCAAATTGAGTGTAAAATTAAGTTGTCAGTATGATAGGAATTTAAAAGTCTTTCATTATTTCTAGAATTTTGCATTTTGTTTTAAAAATAAAAGTTTCATCAAACAACCAAGGAAAAAATACTAAGTTAGCTTTACCACAAGTAAGTCTTGAATGCTGTCAGGTGATCACGAGTGCTTAAAGCTGAGTTAGCTATCAGCATTGTTCTTTAATTTTGTTTGTTTTGTTTTATTTTAGATGAAAGTTTGTCATATCAAGAAAGTCAACTAGAATTTACTGAGGATTTCAAAAATTTTAAGGTATAGTTTTGTATTCATCAATAAGTATTTGTAAAATTTATAAATTTTAAATTCCATTGTAAACCATAAATATGTACCAGTAAATTATTATTTTTTTTTTTAAGTGGTCAATTATATATGATTTTGTTAGAATCTATATAATTTTTTTTTTTAAATTTATGTATTAAAAATATTTTGTGTATATATTTATATTACCTTATTACTTTTTAGCTCACCTGGCCCAAAGGTCTAAGTGAGCTATTCTCATCACTTGGAGTTCGTCATCTGTCAACCATCATTGTTGTCCATCATTATCATTGTCTGTTGTCATCTGTTAACTTTTACCAAAATCTTCTCCTCTGAAACTACTGGGCCAAATTTTACATAACTTAGCCACAATCATCATTGGGGTATCTAGTTTAACAAATGTGTCAGATGACCCTGCCTGCAAATCAAGATAACCGACATGGTTGAAAATAGAATATAGGGGTGAAATGTAAGTTTTGTCTATTATTTTGAAAACTGCTATAATTAAAATAAAATCTGATGGGAGCAGAAATGTTCAGAATGTTGCCTATACCTGAAAATTGTTATAGATAGAGAGAAACTTTGAGAGCAATATCCTCACAGAAAAACTCAGATTAGCACTGAAATCAATAAACTTAATACATTGTACAATATGTTTTGCTAAAAGTATAAATAGGCCATATTGCATTTCGAAATGGTCATGGAAAGAATGCTGTGGATTCATTTTATATTTCCCACTGGACATTAAGCAACCAACAATCAATCAATCAATCATTTTTATTTGTGCAGTATTGATTTTAGTGTATATTATGGGTATAGGTAGAACAACAAATTTTAGTGTTCAACAAAGTTCAAATTTTCCACAAATTTGAATGAAGAAGTTGTAAAGAACATGAAATCAAATATCCATAAAAGAACAAATTTTCATCAATCCACGAAGTAGTGGTACCCAAAAATATTAATGAATATACAGTAGATGAGATGAGATGAGATGAGAATTATGGTAGACAGGGGGTCTATTATTAAAAAAAATAATTTGCCAAAATGTAGTTTATATTATGCTTTTTTTTTTTCAAAAATATGATAAAAAGTATGGGTCACAGGGCTTTTTATCAAGCTACAGGTTGTGCAAAATTGTCAGATTTTGTATGGATTATACATGGAAAACCAATTTTTGGTGATAAAAAAAACTAAAAGCTAGAATTATAAGATAAACTATATGTGAATATAGTCTTATAATGTGCTTTAAGAAAATTAAAACAAAAATTGGGGTCACAGGACTAGTTTTCTTGCTACACATCAAGAAAGGTTAATTCATAACACATTCTTTTATAAAAGTTACATTATTGTAGTTATGTCCCCTTCTATGTTTAAGTTGAAACAAATTAAATCAAACAAAATATATTTTGTATTTGTAAAAAAAAAAGTAGAAAAAAATATAGTAAATCATATTTATCATTCTTTTAAAATAAAATCCTAACAAATGAATTACATTCTTCTCACAAAATTTGCACTTTTGATTAAAGATCTAGACCAATCACGTTCTGCTATTTTACAATCCAAGATGGCGGAAGACACCTGATCTACCTTAAAGAGATGTTTCTATTGTATTTGTATGTAAACTGTGTCATTTCTTTATATATAAATATTATATTATATTATATTGCATTACATTATATGAATACTATGCACTTATAGATAAAAAAAAAACACACATTTATTCTAGGATGGTCCAGAATGTGCCATATGTAAATTACTTGTACAGGAAATTGACTCGTATATAGTACAGAACAAATCAGCCTCCGAGATCAATGCCACTGTGTATGAGTTTTGTAATAACCTCCCAGCTCCACTGAATTCTATGGTGAGTAAATCTGTGCAAAAGTATATAACATTTCCTTTTGAATAAATCAGTTCTTTGAAATATCATATGTAAGTTTATTTTTTTGGTGCATTTAATTTTTTGTAGCGTCAATCCAATCCAAAGACTATATTGTCTATAACTCCATGCTCCTATAATTTTCTCTTTTGAATAAAGCAGTGCCTTAACGTATGATAAATTTACAGCTTTTTGAATTCCCTAGTGAGTAAATCCATGTAAAATTTTATAAACTATCTGTTCTACTCATTCTCTGGTGAGTATAAGTTCCTTCAATATTTATCTTGTGTACAAAACTCTATGCTCACCAAATATTCATTGGTGAGTTAGAGCAGTACCTCAGAGTATGATAAAATTCATGCTCCTTTGATTTCTCTAGCAAGTAAATCAGTACCATAGTATATAAATTGTATAATGTAATTTCTGTCCACTGAATTCTCTAGTGTGTATATGAATTCACAAATATATATTATTGTGTAATAACCTAGATTATGAATTTAATTCTCTGTTAATCAAGAAAAAGTAAGGAATGATTTGTGTAACAAACTAATTTTAGTGAATATACGGGGGGGGGATGGGGGCAAATAATCAGGTAACTTAACGAAGTTGTAATTAAAAATCATGTGTTAATGAGAAAGTTACAATATCCTTGTCTTTCTTTTGAAGTTCTTGCATTTCAAAGGCATTATACTTCAGTAACCATTTAGAAGCCTTTTTTGTTTATTTAGTGTGATGTCTTGTGATTGCTCAAAGTGTTTAATTTGTCCTCCCAATGACAATGATAATGTATACCTTTTTTTCAAATTAAATCTTGTACTGTTAAAGAATCAAAGCCTTTCTTGACAGTGCATCTGCATTTGTATTTTTGTTTCCTGTATAGGTTGATGTATTGGTGCTGCATTGGTGCTGCATTCACAGTATCTACTCTGTCTCTTAGCAAAGAACAAGTCCCAACTCCAGATTTATACATTTTGCACAGGCATCTTTGTGTTTTAAAAGAAGTTCATCTGCTAGTATTTTCAAAGCTGTTGTTGTTTTTGATATAAAATTGAGAATGGAAATGGGGAATATGTCAAAGAGACAACAACCCGACCAAAGAGCGGACAACAGCCGAAGGCCACCAATGGGTCTTCAACGCAGCGAGAAAATCAAGCACCCGAAGGTGGTCCTCAGCTGGCCCCTAAATAAAATTGTGTACTAGTTCAGTGAAAATGGACGTCACACTAAACTCCAAAACATATAAATGAACTAGAATTAAAAAGCATACAAGACTAACAAACGCCAGAGGCTCCTGACTTGGGACAGGCGCAAAAATGCGGTGGGGTTAAACAAGTTTTGTGAGATCTCAACCCTCCACCTATACCTCTAGCCAATGTAGAATAAAGAAACACATAGCAATACGCACAGTAAAACTCAGTATAAAAGAAGTCCGAGTCCAATGTCAGAATAGGTAACAAAAGAAACTAAGCAAAATGACAAAGATACATAAATTCCTACATCTGTGCTCAAATACATCTCACAAATGTTCTGGGAGTTATGTACAAAGTTCATCTATTATATTGTATCTGAATTTTCATTGGATGATTTAAAAATGTTGTCTGATTTGTCATGTCCTTTTACTGAGTTAAGTAATGTACAACTCTTGGGTATTTTTACATTGTTACATCTGTAACATCTACAAAGTCTTTTAATCCATAGTTCTTATCAAAGTAGCTACTTTGATTTTTGTTGGAGTATTTTCCAGATTAATGAATGCAGATTAATGAATGGCACCGGTATAGAAGGTATTTGTGTAAAAACTAAACCTTTTCTGGTCAGAATTTTGCAATTGTCAAAAATGACTGGTTTGAACAGTGCGTAATCACCATTAAATTTTACTGTATCAGTCTCTGGTATATGTAAAATCCTCTCTGATAGAGATAGAATTATGATATTTTTATCAAGTACAATCCTTCAAACTTGACTTTCGCTTCTCTTTACTTCACATGGATACCAAAAGACTTTTATGTGAATTCCATGATTTCACAATGTACAATGTATAAATGAAGTGATAAATTCCAAGCTCAATTGCACTCGATGGTGAAACAAAGATTACCAACATACAACACTAGCAAAATTTACTCAATGTTCAACTCAGATTTCTTGTGAGTAAATAAGTTGTAAAGTAGCTGCCTAAAATTCCAGGTTTTATTGGAAAAGTTATCAACTTATTCTGTAATTTCACAATATCAGTAAATGCTATATAAAAAATTATCATTTCAGTGTACTACTTATGCACCAATGATTGTGAAAGATTTAGTCTTAGGATTTGATCCCGAACAAACCTGTGAAAAATTGAAGTTGTGTTCAAGTAAGTGGTAAAAACAAAAGGAAATCAAATGTTAAATTATCAGGTATTCGTTGTTTTAGAATTTTAGTCTATGATTGAGGCCATAGATGCAAGTCAATTATTATACAAGGACTTTTCACTGATATATAACAATACAATGAATTAAACATGATAGACTAAAGATGACTTATTTAATATTAAAACAAAATATGAGATTTTTAGCTCACCTGGCCAGAAGGGCCAAGTGAGCTTTTCTCATCACTTGTCGTCCGTCGTCAGTCGTCTTCGTCGTCGTCCGTCGTCGTTAGCTTTTTACAAAAATCTTCCCCTCTGAAACCACTGTGCCAAATTTAACCAAACTTGGCCACAATCATCATTAGGGTATGTAGTTTAAAAAATTTGTCCGATGACCCCGCCAACCAACCAAGATGGCCGCCATGGCTAAAAATAGAACATAGGGGTAAAATGTAGATTTTGGCTTATATCTCTGAAACCAAAGCATTTAGAGTAAATCGGACATAGGGTAAAACTGATAATCAGGTCAAGATCTATCTGCCCTGAAATTTTCAGACAAATCTGACAACCTGTTGTTGGGTTGTTGCCCCTGAATTGGTAATTTTTTAGGAAATTTTGCAGTTTTTGGTTATTATCTTGAATATTATTATAGATAGAGATAAACTGTAAACAGCAATAATGTTCAGCAAAGTAAGATCTACAAATAAGTTGTCATGACCAAAATTGTCAGTCTACCCCTTTAGGAGTTATTGCCCTTAATAGTAAATTTTTTACAATTTTTTGTAAATTTTTGTAATCTTTTACAAAAATATTCTTCTCTGAAACTACTGAAACAAATTTAACCATACTTGGCCATCATCATTATTAGGGTATCTAGTTTAAAAAATTTGTCCGATGACCCCGCCTTCCAACCATCATGGCCGACTTGGTTAAAAATAGAACATAGGGTTAAAATGCAGTTTTTGGTTTATATCTCTGAAACTGAAGCATTTAGAGCAAATCTGACAGGTGGTAAAAATGTTCATCAGATTTAGAGTTATCTGCCCTGAAATTTTCAGACGAATCCGACAATCCGTTGTTGGGTTGCTGCCCCCGAGTTAGTAATTTTACAAAAATTTTGCAGTTTTTGTTATCTTAGATATCATTATAATATCTAATATCTAATACTATTAATTATGATTTTAACCTTATTTTACATGATTTCCAAAGCATCAGTAAATACAGGTGAGCGACACAGGCTCTTGAGAGCCTCTAGTTTATATTATTATTGAATAAAAGAGGTAGCAACTCCTGGTCAAATCTAATGCAGAGCATTTTTATTATTATATTTCTGGAAAACTTCATGATATTAAATAAACATTCCACAATGGTTTTAATTACCAACATGGTACCAACTTGTGTTGTCTTTTAAAAATTATATGATATTAATATATCCCCTTCAGATGGCAGTTTTGTCCAACCATTCCTGGAAGAAGTTGAACCAAAAGAACAAATAGAAGAGAAAGTTGAAGCAGTATGTTACTATGTTATATTAGAGTTATTTTATATGCAACAGTATATCAGAGTTTCAATTCTCAAATAGTTACTATTTGATTGTTTTTTCCCGACCAGACTTTGTAAAAGATTAGTATTTTTTCGGCAGGGGACCAAAACTACTAACCAACCATTCCTTCATATGGCCAAAATCCTTGCCAATTTCAATTGTTTCACCACCGTCTTAGTATCAAAGTCTCAATCCTGAATATCAAAGACTACTGTGGATTCATTTATTTTCGTGGCTAACAATGCTCGTGGATTGAGGAAAACTTCGTGGATATTTGATTTCACGGTTTTGTCAATGTCTGCCTACAAGACAATAGAAAATTTGTAATTCGTTGAACATTTAAATTCATGGTTTACCTGTACCCACGAAAATTGATATCCAACGAATAATAATGAATCCACAATATTTCTTGTTTGAATATTGTTTTTGTTTATGTTCCTTTTCATCTAGTTTGTTGAGCACAAAAGAGTATAATACACATTTTCTGTAAAGCAGTGTGTCTATCCTAAAATAGTTACTATACTATATAGGAATATACAACTTTGAAAGAAGAAAAAGTTCCTTTTCTGTTTCATTCTTTGTAACTTTTTTTTTTACTTTTATTACCAATTTTGATATAAATTGCATTTTGGGTATTTTTTCACCAGACTTTTAAAAAATCATTGTTTTTTAAGTGAGGTAGCAAAATTATCTGAAATCCTTCCCTAGATCCAAAGTCAATTTCAAATGTTCACAAACTGTCTTAGGATTGAAATTTACTATTTCTCGTCTGAATAATGTTTCCATGTGTGATTTTCAGCTCTCCTCTGTTGAGCATGGATGATATAAATGAATTCATTTTATAGTGATGCACAGTTTGTCATTGCTTCTCTCAAGAAAATTATTTAAACATGGTTGAGAGGTTAATTGGATTTCTTCCTATCAACTTAATTAAGAAAATAACACAAATAAGGGAAATTAGTGACTGTTGGTGTAGCTTTAAAAAAAAAAATTTGTCTTTAATAAATGATATTTATATATATTTAGGATCCATTATGTGTGTTGTGTGAATTTGTTGTCCAGCTACTTGACCAATATTTAGCCAGCAATAAAACGACGGCTGCTGTTAATTCCTCTGTCATGCAGATCTGTAATTTATTACCAGGAAGTTTGAAAGGGCAGGTAATGTTTTATTGTACTCTTAATTAAAATTCCTAAAAATACTTTTTTTGTATTTAATTGAAATGCACACATAAGAATTAAATCAATAAAGTTCAGAAGAGTTTTTAAACAATTGGAATTGATTGTAAATTGTACGAAAAATACTCTAATGACCATGTAAGCATTGTACCTATTATTTATATTTTATTTATTATTGATTCAACTTTAACAAAAAATGATTCAAATGAATTTAAAAATAAAAATTGATTGTTCATTTTTAGCTCACCTGGCCCAAAGGGCCAAGTGAGCACCACTTAGCGTCCGTCATCCTTCATCGTCGTCCCTTAACTTTACAAAAATCTTCTCCTCTGAAACTACAGGACTATAAATTTAACCAAACTTAGCCACAACCATCATTGTGGTATCTAGTTTAAAAAATGTGTCGGATGACCCCACCTGCCAACCAAGATGGCCGACATAGCTAAAAATAGAACATAGGGGTAAATGCATGTTTTGTCTATTATTTTGAAAACTGTTATAAAAAGAGAAAATTAGACAGGGCAGAAATGTTCAGAATGTTAAGCTCTACCAATTGTCCTATAACGTCAAAACTGTCAAGGGACTTCATATAGGAGTTTTTGCCCTTAAATGACAAATTTTACCATTGTTTTCACATTTGCCTTTTATCTTGAAATCTATAATAGATACAGAGAAACTTTAAACTGCAAAAATGATCAGCAAGACAAGATCTACAAATAAGTCTCATGGTTGAAATCGTCAATCAACTCTTTATTAGAGTTATTGCCCTTTAATGACGATTTTTACCAATTTTTTGTGTTTTTGCCTTATATCTTAGAATTTATAATAGATCAATAGAAACTTAATTTAGCAAAAATGATCAGCAAGACTAGATCTAAAATTAAGACTTACGGAGGAAATTGTCCAATGACTCCTTATTGGAGTTATTGCCCTTTAATGACAATATTTACTAAATTTTTTGTATTTTGCCTTATGTGATTAAAATTATAATAGATAAATAGAAACTTTGAATAACAAAAGTGATCAGCAACTCAAGATCTACAAACAGTCAAATTTGGCGATATAGTTAGTAGACTGTCACTCTTTAGAGAAGTGATTGCCCTTAAATAAGAATTTTTTTCCCTCTCTTGTGTTTTGAGCAAAAGCTAAAGAAGACAGAGAGAAATAAAACAGACAAAACGATCAACAATACAAGATCAACAAAAAAGAGATTTTTGTCATGAATTCTATTCTAGTCTATAATGTTAAAGACTGTCCTTTGTTTAATATGCACATAGACCAAGGTGATCGACACAATTGGGTTTTTAGAGCCTGTAGTTATCAGAGTTATGCTGTTTAAAAATTTTTGAATAGAAAAAATAATGTTGGAAATTATCTAGGACATATAATTTACCGTAATCGGGCTTGTATAGTCTGCACCCACTTCTCCCCACGAAATTTCAGGTAAAAAAAACTTATTGTAACTGTTAGAAAAGGTCTAATGAAACTCAGGTAATTTTAAATCGTGCATGGTCGTTTGAGGTGTTTTCTTGGAAAAACCTGTTTTCCATCATCAAACAGAAGCTGAAACTGCTTGTAAATGATTCTAGAACACTTCGCGATTGTTAAAATAAGTCTAAATCACACAAAAAACAATTTAGAAACTTGTTTATGTTTAAACCAGAAGTTTGAATACCATGTGTAAAAGAGGAAAAAAATGGTGAGAGTCTAAATCCTAGAAATCACTATAATACGACTTTGAAAGTAAAACAGTTCCTTCTTAATGTAAAACAGTGTTTAATATATCTATTACATTAATGTTTGGGGGGTTTTAAGCCAATGTAAAACATATTTGTGAATTGGAAACACCAAAACTGAACGAATAATAACCAATTACGTTTTGTAGTTTACACATCGTAAGCTGGTTTATGGTTGTCTTTTTTACTTTTTTTTGTATCGTTTCATTCAAGCAGATACCAGTCTATTTTAATCAATTCATTGAAAAGAAACAAGAAATTTGTAATGAAGTGTTTAACTTTTAGATTTATCAGTTTTAATTTGATATTGAATAAAAATAACTTATTAACATGGATTAGGTAAAATTATTAGTTTGAAAAATGATAAGAGCGTCCTCAACAACATCAATAACAAACATGGCAGAAGGTAAACAAACCACCTAACAATTTTTTTTCTCTTATTTCTTGCTTATTGTACTCTATAGTCCGCACCCTTTCTGGCAGGTTCAATTTTGGAGAATAAAACCGTGGGCTATACAAGCCTTTTTAATGGTCGGTAATTTTTTTGTTATTTGGTTGCTACCTTATTGACATACATTCTACATCTCCTTTTACTCAGAATTTGATAAAATGTATAACTAACAGGACTCTTGGAAAAATAGTAAAAATTTAAAGATATAATTGCATTATGAATACTTAACACAGCAGTATTATGTACCTGTTTTTCAGAATTAAATCAATTTTGAAAATCTATTTCAAAAATACATTGGGTAATTGTTTATTTCAGTGTATTTTATTTGCACCACAAATTGTAACCATGGTAACCAGTGGAGTGGCACCAGAGAATGCATGTAAACAAGCTAAATTGTGTCCAGCAGTTAACGGTAGGCACACAGTATCCATTATAAAGAGTTCATTAGTGGGCAACAGATAATGTATTGAAGAAAATTATTAGATATGAATATGTGAATCAGAAAAGAGAATATTTATATAAATTGTGTCAGTTTCTGAATTATGTATGTTCTTACATGGATAGGAAGGTTGTTTAACTCAAATTTAAAGTGGGTGAGAAAAGTCTCTATTGTTGAGCAAATAACCTTTTCTGAACTAAGCTACATTGGGCCCATGAAAAGGTCAACAAATAAATTTGGCAGGAGGTTTTTGATGCTTAGAAATCTCTTCATCAAATTTGAAAACCAGGATGTATTGATGAAGTTTTATCTTCTGCTTTTTGGGAAGGAGAATACATTAAAATTGGTGGTTCAAGTGTTTATTACTGTATAAGAACTGGGCTCACAATGGAATTTGGACAGTGCATGACTTGTTAGATAACCAAGGAAATATTATGTCATTTCAAAATTTTCAACATTTATATCAATTTAGATTTTTTTTTCTACATTATTATGGAATAGCACACTTGCTTAAAGGGTGGTTAAAAGCTATCAATATTGATGTAACTGAGAAAAGATCTCAGGCAATGCTACCTTTCGATATAAGTATTTTCTTTGAATCAAAGAAGGGTTCAAAGGACATGTACAAGATATTGAATGAGAAAAATGTTACTTTTGTTGTAAAGGAAAAATGGGAAAACCTGATCTTAATATTACTGGCAGTAATTGGAAGAAAATACACACTTCAAGTACAAAATAAACTAGAAACTCAAACCTTTGCTGGTTCCAATATAGATTTATCCAAAGGACTTTGGGAACTAATTAGAAAAAATTAAACAATAGTAATATATGTAAATCTGCAAAGGAACCAGAGACCATAGAACATTTATTTTGGAGTTGTCTTATGGTCTCCAGTCTCTTGCATGCACTTAATAATTGAATTTTTGAAATGACAAATATTGAACTTCCTTTGAATTTCAAAATTATTGTATTTGGTAACTTTGAAAATATTAAATTGAATTTTGTTAATAATAAGATTATTTTGCTTACAAAATATTATATTTACTGAACAAAATTACAGAAGTATTGCCAAATTTAAATGCTTTCAAGAATATTTCAAGGAAACCTTGTACTTAAAAAATACATTTCACCTACAAACCTCTCTGAAGATGAATATAACATTTACCCTAGCCCCAGGTTCCCTGTTATACACTAAATATTTTTTTTTAATTTGATTTAAACACCAAAAATATATCCAAAAACAAAATGAGATTCTCCCTATGTTTAACCAAATAATATATTTCCATTGTTGTTTTGATTTAAAATTTCCCTACTGTGAATATATGATTCTGTATACCTTTGTTCATACATGTTGTGTCAGTCTATTTGTTACAATAAAGTAAATTTTTTATATAAAAGAAATCTGAATTATGTGACAAAAATATTTTTTTGTGTCATTTCCCTATATATCTGATATCTGTGATTTGTCCTAAAGCATGACCCTACAATTTCCCAAATAATAAAGTCTTCATAAAAAGAGATGAGGAGTCTTCCTTAATAAGATAACAACCAGTGGTCAGTATACAGTTTTTGACTATAAACAAATGTCTCTACCATAAATTAAGCTCTAAGTAAAATGAATTAAACAGATACACTATCAAAGATCTTCAGTGAACAAATAAAAACAAATAGAACTACAAAAAAAATAGATTAGCACATTATAGACTTTGTAAGTACAAAAATGTTGTTGTTACCAATTTATCTATTGGCCTTAAGTATAATGGCAAAGATCCTGTGTTGTGTTGTTGGCTTACTGTAAGGCTTTATGTTCCTCTATTGGCCTTAAGTATAATGGCAAAGATCCTGTGTTGTGTTGTTGGCTTACTGTAAGGATTTATGTTCCTCTATTGGCCTTAAGTATAATGGCAAAGATCCTGTAGTGTGTTGTTGGCTTACTGTAATTTTCATGTAAAAGTGTTTGGCACATAATTTTAATGAAATAAAATTGTTTAAAATAAAGATTTTGCTTTTTCTAGGACCATTCTTCCAGAAAGAATTAACAGAGTTGTCATGTGGTCAATGTCATGGTATTGTGGAATTCCTCTTACCACAGAAATACAATCCTGAGGTAAATCTTATAGCATGTATATCACTCCCTTTTTCAATTTGTTACTCTCTCATTAGTACTACTTATAGCTTATAGGGAAGATACATCTAGGGTTTGAGGTTGTACATCATGTACCATGCTGAGTCAGCTTTAAGGTTTAGCATGTGCATTAAACATGCGATGTAAGAGTGACAACAAGTTGACTAGAACCCTTTTTAATGTACAGATGTAGTGTAACATGTGTCCTGCTGGTTCCCTGTCACTCTGTTTGCTTGCATGGTTAACCATGTCAGATTTGAACATAGCACATTAATATTTTCTAATCCAGATCATGGTTGAAAAATTACACCCTCCCCTTATGCTTTTCATTCTGTACATTTCGTAAGTAAGATATTACTGTAACATCAAATTTCAGAGAAATCATTGAATTTATCAGTACAGAGGCAAACAACTGACCTCCTTTCAGACAATTTCAGGTCATTTGACTTTCAAAATTTGATTGATTTCTAAATATTTCTTTTGACTGCATTATCTTTTTTCCTACTAAGTGAAAAACAGATGCAAGTGGAGTATTCAGATAATCACATATGAATATCTTTATATGTATTTATTAATTGATTTTTTTTTTCAATGTCGAAAAATTGTTGTAAAAAAAATTTTCAACAATGTTTTGACATATTGTTGCAAAAGGGTTCAAATTAAGGGGAGATATAGTTTTTTCTTTAGTGTTGAAAAATAAAAAATAAAAAACACTAATTTTAATGCATGAGAAACACTTTTTAGATTTACTTTTATCAGTAACACTCAAAGCCAAATATTTGAAAGCCAAGGATGTATAAAAACTGAAACAGCTTAAGAACTGAAACAGTTGAGGAGCTATATAACAATAAAGGACGGAGAAATAATAGCCAAATCCATCTTAGGTCAACTTTACCTGAGGGAGTTGAAAACTTAGTTTCTTAATAATTTCTAAATTATAAACAACGAATTTAAGAAAGGTTTTATAATTTATGATATATTTAGAATTGTTGTATAATACTGATAATTTTGAAAGTATGTTATCTTTTCAGTTTGGAAATTTGATATGTAAAGCTGCTTGCCCAGTTGCCAGACGCCGGAGATCAGTAGATGACACACCACAAATTTTTATGGAATTTATGAAAGCAGCAAAAATGGTAATGAGTATTGAAACATATGTCCATGAATCACATGCCATAATTAATGATTGATAAATGATTTCCAGTCAAACATTTCTTTGCTATTAATTGTAATAAATGGCCACAATTATACCATTTATGTACCTTTAAAGTTGGGAGGAGGAGGTTTTGAGTTGTGACATAATTTTCTTTCTGTTTTAAAACTTTTTTTCTTTTCTTGACATCCTATTTGTTTTGACCACTTCACTAGCAGTTAAAAATCCATCTCATATTCATATCTCATCAACATGTTCTTGTGTATGCATGTAAAGAAGCCACTAGACATTAAACACTAAACACATCCATTAATCTGATATTTTTGCAGAGCTTCTGTCACTGAGTTTACATTTTTGGAAAGGCTTAAATCTTTTAATCGTATAAAAATTCATTAGAGCAAACAACAATAGTTATCAAAAGTAAATAACATGTTTTCTACTTAATTTAGACCAGAACCTGGAGATGTGATTTATGTGAATGGATTATAGAAGCTATTAATGCTTATGTACAGACCAACGTCACAGAGCAGTCACTAGAAGACTACATGAATGATATTTGTCATTTTATGCCAGAGCCATTTAAGGATGAGGTATGTTGTACCTAAAATAAAAATATCTGTTTCGTGTTCATTAAATGCTTTATTTATTTCTAGGTGTAAAATTTTCAGTTACATATTCATTTATGTATGGCAAAAGTTGTACATTATTTTGTATGAATTAAACCTCTGTGTTGATTTGTACCATACATTAGTCTTTGCAATTGTTTTGGTCGAGGAAATTGACTGTTAAAATATACATATGGAATATATATATGAAAGTAATATTTTTTTCTTTTGATAATATACTCCAATATTGGCCATCTTTTTACAGAGTTGATGATGTTAAAAGTAGTGTGGTCAGGTTAAAGTTGAGGCACTACTATTAAATCTGATTATCTATTGTAGTTTTAGGTATTCAGGTGTGTAGCATTTAAATAATTACTTTGAGTGAGGTGGAAGTTGAATTTTTGCATGTAAAACATATTAGTTTTGACTTTTTTGTAACCTTAATAATTGTTTTGATCCAGTGTGCCATAATATACACTTGGATATTTTGAACATTGACATTTTTTTAAATATGCTGTAACTATCTTTAGTTTGTTTTGATGCTTTATTTAATGATTAATCCTTTACAATGCATGGGTGAAAGCCCAAGATAATGCTGCAAAATATCTTTGGTGTTTACCTCCCTTTTTCTCTTGAGTGCCAGACTCTATTTAAAGATTTTAAAACTGGTATTTGCTGCTTCTCCCCTAAGAATATAGCATTTAGGAGTAAGAGCAGTATGTAGGTTAAAAATCCAGCTCAGCATATTCATCTAATACAAAGCTGTCTGAGTTTACATTCATATCACATTAATTTAAAATTGTGATATGCTTTCAAAAGCCAAAAAGGTAAACTAACTTTGAACTTAAATCCTGTTTAATTTCTGAGGTCAAGTTCACTTATTAGCATTAAAAAAGAGCCATTCAGATTATATTGGATTACCAGGAGACACTGCACTTTAATGTACTCTTTTCACATTTATTTTGAGGCAAACATCTTTTGAATGATTTAACCGTTTTTGATTTTTAATGATATTTGCAGTGTTTGAAAAGTGTACCAGAAATAATAAAAGAATTATCCCATGGCTTTGATGAGGATGTTCTCTGTCAGCATTATATCCCTGATGAATGTAATGGTAGGTCTTTTATACTTTTGAATGACTACAGTTGTTTTAAGTCGTATATGCATTTGATGTGATGTTGTCATCTCCAGCTATTTTTTTGATATGATAATTTATTCTATCTGCTTACATGTTATCCTTTTCAAATTTGGTTTTTGTTTATTAAATAAAACCTGATATGTACTGGAAGGATTTTAGTCCAATATAATTTTAAAAATAAGCTCAAAGGTGTGTTTATGTGTTCTTATAAATGGTAACTGACATGTTTTTTGCCAGTCTTACTCATAAATTTCTTGAACTTTTTGCACATTGACCATCAATAAAATTTCACTGTTTCTGCAATCGATTATTACATTTAAGACGAATTATATGATAGTTCATGGAAAAATGAAAAGAGGTTGGTCAGAATTATGTTGAAAAAAGTCACATAATGGATAGGAGGTTCTGTATTTTGACATTACCAGTGATTGAAAGTTAAACACCAGTTAAAACAATAAAATGTGTATTAATATTATTATATTTTTCAAAGGTTCTTCTGTTGCTGCTGTAGACAAGCCAGTTGCAGCTTTCTTTGATGAGAAGAAGAAGGATAAAGATGTACAGTGTGAAATATGTAAACATATCATCAAATACATTGATGGAAATTTAAATCATGATAAGGTTTGTACTTGGAATTTTTTTTTATACTTTGATTTTTTAAGTTTCATTTGTTGTGATATTAGTAAATAACACATCAGAAATGCTTCATTTTCTTCAAATAGCTTGTTAGATGTATTTCAGTAAGAGCTTTTTTATATTAAATAATTGCCACTGAAATTATGATGTTTTACTTTGTGACAATGACAAACGATCATTTTTAGGAAGATCATTTTTCAGTTCAAACAACAACACCATACAGGAAATAGTCTCCAACTGAATTTTGATTACCTGATGTTTGTCATCCATATTTTATCATTTTACCTTCTAACAAAGATGCATCAAATCCTAATAAAAATATATATTTTGTAAAAATTCAGTTGCATGAACTGTTGACACAGAGATATGTCACGCCTGTATGTAAGTTTGGTAGTAAAATGCATAGGTTGAAATTAAACTCCTCAAAACAGTCAATTGGTTGTTCGTCTTAAACTGATGTTATCACAAAAATCAACTTCCATTTTTAGTAAGATATATTCAAAAAGCTTGCACTGTAGAGGATGACATATGATAAGAGCCCTTATTCGATCTTTGAAATTGAAAAATAGTAGAGCTAGTAAAGTCTTTCAATGTTAATTTAATTGATATATGAAGAGGTTTATATAATCTGGACTCTGTACTGGAAGGAGATTTCTTGTGATATCGATGTGAAAATTTACCTATTTGACCAATACAGTAATTTTACACCTTGTTATTTTTTAGAAATAGATCTAGGGCCTTTCCTTAAAAGATATAGAACGCACAACTTCTTTGTAAGGTACACCTTGTATATAAATAATCTTTTTGGGTAAAGTCTCTGTTTAAATACAACAAAATAATAAATCAACCAAACTTTTCATTATAAAGATATTGGACAGATTGCATCTTCAGAGTCCATAAGCAACAGCATTGGCCTAGTTGTAGTACTATAAATGTATAAATCATAAATATTTCTGATTTCAGAATGAAGTTAAAATGTATGTAGATGATGTATGTGGAAGATTACCATCACCAACAAATAAGGCAGTAAGTTTGTTTTATTTATTTAAAAAAAAACTATGGAAGTCATATGACTATGTTGAAAGTCAAGTCAGAAATCCGAATGCACCGGACAATAAATGAAAATGGCATATAGAAGGCAAAAAGACATTAGAATAGGGGATATGAAATGGTAGCCATGACTACCATTTGAAATCATTTAGGGATGCTTCAGTTTATATTTGGATGAAAGATACCTTAACAAAGATAGAATCTAAATATAATACAAGGAGATTTGGTGTAAAAATGTACATCAATGAGATAACAACACATTGAAACAAACCAAAGAGATATCATTAAATTTATCATCTGTCATCAAAATCAAATAAATGATGAATTTCTACATTCCCTCATGATATCCGAAAATACTAAAAGAAAAGAAATAGCTATCCAAAATAAATCGAATAAAAAGTAACAACAGTAAAGAAAATATAATTGATATTGGTCCAATGGTGTTCCCCATTTAAAGAAGTCAGAAATATCACCATAAATGTTAAAATTGTAAAGTAAATTTTATTATATCCCCGCTTTGAAGAAGAGGGGTATACTGTTTTACCTCTGTCTGTCCGTTTATCTGTCCGTCCCATGCATATTTTTTGTCACATTTTTCTCAGGAACTACATCATAAAGATTTCTGAAATTTGGTTTCAGGGTTTATATAAGTCAGCTATACCGTGTGATGCGTTTTCAGATTCACCACTCAACAACTTCCTGTTTATCGTCAAGTATTTGGGCGGGGGTATCATCAGTGAGCAGTAGCTCGCAGTTTCACTTGTTGTTGCTGTTTTCTAAGTAAATGATTTGTTAAGGGTGTGCTTAAAATTGCGTTTCTATTGCTATATTGTTTCAATTATGACTTTTTAGTTTACCCACATGTTGTCATATTTTAAATGTTCTCTTGTTTTTCAGTGTAAATCTTTTGCTGCAGCAGAAATTGAAGAAATATTGCTGAAGATTATCAACAAAATACTTTCTCCTGAAGATGTGTGTCATATGATAACTGTGTGTTAGACATATGAAAGATTCACAAAAAGAACTTTAAATAATTTTGAGAATACAAATTATATTCATTTCATGTATTCATTAAGAAAATAAGTCAGTTGGCCAGTTTTTTCTACTTGTAGGCCAGAATAAAACATTCCATTTTATTTCTTGTCTTGTCTCTAACCAATGTTACTTGTGTGAAGACATAGGTCAGTCATTAGCAGAACCATTGGAATTATCTAATGATCTGTATTATAAATCAGTCCATATCAGATTTATTGACTTTTGATTCACTGTTGCATTATTTTTGAAGCGTTTTGTTCAAAGCAGTATATGATAGGTTTTGTCCAATCAAATATACTTTGTTGAAAGCAGTAGGATGGCATATATAGCTGCTTACGTACATTTAATTTGGACTCTGTGTAAAGTTGTCCAATTGGCAATCATACCTCATCTCCTTTGTTTTTACATGCCTTGTAATTGATCTGTTATTTTCACAAAGTTCGACTTTTAGGTCTTGGCATTACAACTAGTATATTTCGTCAAAAGGTGCACTTGTTAAGGAAAATCTATGAGACGAAT